GATATAATAAATATCTTACTAACCTCGTCTTTTCGGTCCGTACTGTACGTTACGGATCCTCGTTTTTTCCCCTTCGATTTATGACCCGCGCTTTTCGCGCTTGGGCCACAAATCGATGGGGGAAAACACGAGGATCCGTAACTTACAGTACGGACCTCGAACTCGGTTAGTAAGAGGTATATATCTCTCTTCATATCCACCATAGAAAATACAGCTAAACAGAATACAGGAAATTCGAAAGCTTTCAAAGATTGGAATAATTGAGATAGAGATTTAAGAAAGTCGTGCACCATATTGGATTTTAAATGTACATTTTTGGAATCATTCTCATTTATGTAATGTCTTTTTCTTTCTGCATTATTTTAGTTCTAGAACATATTTTATTTCTTTATTTATGTGACTAATGATATATTAAGAACAAGACCTCTCTGTATATCACCGGTAGGTGAGTGAGCTTCCTGTAATAATAATATTAATAATATTAATAATAATATTAATAATAATAATAATAATAACAATAACTATTATTATTAATATTGTTATTATTATTATTGTTATTATTATTATTATCATTGTAATTATTATTATCATTATTAAAGCTTTGTATACTCGACGGTACTCCATGCACCTAATCTTCCCATCGTGCACTGCACGTATATATGTTCCATTGATTCTGTTGGCTACTGTATTTTCCGTGCATGGTATAAAACAGTTATGCGACGCTTTCTCCTGGTTTACCATGGAATATCCCACTTGTCACTTAATTGTATTTTCTTGATATGCACACTCTTCTAAAAGCTCGTGTGTTTACCAAGAAAATACAAATGACTCGTGGGATATTCCGTGGTACAACACTCGACAGCGTTACATAAATAGTATCTTTCGATCTTTACCTTTTACCAACATTGACAATACTTTTTCACTCAAATACTGAACGTCATATCTACACCTGGTATAACCGGATGCACTACAAATAAAAACTGTTTCGTTTGTAAATATTTCTTTACTTAAATAGTACCACAATAAAACCCGCAAATTGAAGATTAAAGTGAAACTTATTTCTAATTTCCTCTTTACTTGATGAGCTTAAATTTGAAAACTGTACGTAGACTTGATCGTTAGACTTCGCTTTATTTTGTCCTACCTCGTTCGTTCCCAATGGATGCTTTCAACAAATTCCAAGAGAGACCATACTTTTTCTTGAAATCAGCTGGTAATTCACTTTCAAGAAGATCAAATATCTGTGTGGCTAATCGATAAACCAACAAAGAAAATTCTAAACAGGTATTACCACAATTGTCCTAAGAAAAATGGCACACAAATGCATGCTTACCATGCTTGCGAACGGCGATGAGCCTAACTTAAACCTGCCGAAATTTGCTCGTCCTCTTTACTTTTTTTTT